GGAGGAAACTGAAGCACATACAGGTTAAGTAACTTGACTAACATAATCCAGCTGCTTGGTAGAGGGACACATACTTTCAACACAGGCTGACTTTCATATTTTAAAAGATTATGTTTAAGTTATGCCTCTAATTTAGTTTTAGATTTATTTATGTATATTTGCTTAAAGTGAATCACTAGTATCTTGTGTTAGGGCAAGAAGAATGGAGTAAATGCCACACATTTCTCTTTATTTATTCACTGGGTGAACATTCTGTGAGCACCATGGATGTGAGGCTTGTCTTCAAGGCAAGGGGAGAATAGACATGAAAACAGTATCCAGTTATCAGTGTCTGCAGGGAGAGAACAGAATGCCTGAAGTTGGGGGGGGGGGGAAGACAGAGAGAAAGAGACAGACAGACAGAAAGACAGACAGACAGAGACAGAGAAACAAGCCACATCATAGAAAGTATAAGCGGTTCCATGGGATGCAATGAAACAACAGAAATCAAAAAGAACTTTCATTTTGGTCATGAAACTAGAATTGATCCTAATGGCTCAACAGGGCTGCGAAAGGGGCATAAGCAAGTCAATGGCAGGACCTGGGCTTTGAAAATTCAGCTGGCACAGCCCAGGGAGGCAAAACCACTAAGCAGTTACAACCATGAGCCAAATTCAATTCTCTGGGTCACAACTCAGGCTCTTCCAGAGTGTGCGAGCTCAGACAGGATAGTAACTCTTCCAATTCTTCATTTGAAATGTTCAGGTGGTCCTAAGACCCACAGTGCAGGATTGGCATGGAGATTTGAAGTGTTATCACATCACATATGACAGTGGTTAAAATAAGTTCCCACTAAATATTAGCTCCTGATACAAGTATATTTACAACTATTGTTAATACTATTTTATGATCATGTGGTATATTAGTGATACATATTCATGATGACTAACATGGGTGCTTATTCTCATTATCAGTAGCATTTTTGTCATTAAGGGTTGGGAGGGCCACAAGAGACAGAGGCAGCAGTTGCCAAAAATCCTCATCAAAATTAGATCAGAATAGTGCTGTGGGTCAAAAGCCAGTGTTATGTCATAATATCAATGCAGAGAACTATAATTAGTATTTCTTTAAAAATTAAAGAGACTGAGGAGCTGGAGAGATGGTTCAGCAGTTAAGAATGCTTGCTATTCTTGTAGAGAATCAGAGATCAGTTCCCAACTACCTGTAACTCCAGCTCCAGAGAATCTAATGTCCTATTCTGGCCTTCATGGTCTCTACATGCATGTGGCACACACACACACACACACACACACACACACACACACACACACAAATAAAGATACAATCATTTTTTTTAGGTTAAGAGATTGAAATAAGAATGACTGGTGAGTGTTGACAGCCATATAGTAACTTCTGAGATCCTTTTGCTTCCATGTTACACACATAAACACTCTCACATCAGTGTGAATTGGGGGCACATGGCAAGATAGTTGTCTTACTATGACTACAGTCAAGAACCTTAAAGACCCTAGAATTGAAGGCGTGGCCTCTGGTCTTCCTTGCAGTCCTGCTTCTCACACACTCAAGGCTAAGCATTGAGACGGCAGAATTCAAAGCCTAGGTTTGGGCCTTAGTCATGTGACTTGATAGCTCTGTGTCCTAGGTCAAACCTCTGCTCAGTTACCACAGGCATTTTGAGAATTAAGACCCCCATCTTTATTCCATCTGGGTATAACTGTTGTTTTTCTAGTAATACCAGCTTTGTTACTAACTCATGATATGGACCTTGGCAAGAGGCTGAATGACCCAGGTTTTATGAAAATAGTCGTGCTTTGTACTCCATGGCTATTATGAAATACCAATAAGTCACAAGTATTTACACTTTGAAAATTATAGAGAAATATGAGGGCCAAGTTTATAGTAAACACTCATGATCCATGGTCCATCAAACACATATAGTGCTAGGTCCAGACCATTCTCTTGCAAAGTGATGTGTCCAGCTTTGGCTCTAAGGATTGGTCTGAGTGGGCCTAAAGGGCCCTTTAAGAAAGTAGACAGAGGTGTGTGAAGAGCTGCAGGCCTGAGAGCATCTGCAGCCATCTGCTGCCAAAGGCATCGTGAAGGACATCATTCACGATCCCAGTTGCGGAGCTCCTCTCACAAAGGTGGTCTTTCAGGATCCCTACTGATTTAAGAAGCATTCAGAGATCTTCATCATTGCAGAGGGCATCCACACAGAGCAGTTCGTGTGCTGCGGCAAGAAGGCCCAGCGTAATATCAGCAATGTTCTTCCTGTGCGCACCGTCCCTGAGGGTACTATTGTGTGCTGTCTGGAGGAGAAGCCTGGGGACAGGGGCAAGCTGGGAACTTCAGGGAACTATGCCACAGTCATCTCTCACAATCCAGAGACCAAGAAGATCCAGGTGAAGCTGCCATCTGGCTCCAAGAAGGTTATTTCCTTGGCCAACAGTGCTGTTGGTATGGTTGCTTGTGGGGGCCGAATTGACAAGCCTATCTTAAAGGCTGGTCCACCCTAGCACAAGTACAGGGCAAAGAGGAACTGCTGGCCACGTGTACAGGGTGTGGCCATGAATCTGGGGAGCATTCCTTTGGAGGTGGTAATCATCAGCACATCCACAAACCCTCTGAGTCTCATTGCTGCTAGCTGGACTGGGCAGCTACAAGGAACTAAGAGGTTCAGGAGAAAGAGAACTAGAACCGAGGGGGTCAATAAAGTTTGTCCTTTGTGGGGTTTTTTTTGTTTTTTGTTTTTTTTTTAAAAAAAGTGGACAGAGTCCTGAGTTGGAGCTGAGAGAGTGCCACCTCCGAGAGCCTTGAGGTCTTAGAGGGAAGGGCTGAAGGGTTGGCACATATGCCAATAATCACTAGTACAACTGTTGATCTTCAAAACCAAATCTGGCCTACCACTGTTTTGAAAAATATTTTGGAAAAAAAATTTAATCATATTTTAAAATGACAGCTCATACCAAAACCCAAATGTCCAGCTTGTCTTAAAATTTCAGAGGGTATCCCCCCACCACACATTTCACACCCCATTATGACCAGGCACTGAGCACCCTCCTGCTGGCAAAGGCCCCACCAGGCACTGAGACCCCTGGTGTCAGGTGTACTCCATTTCTCATGGAGCTTGTGTTCTGTTTCTCTAACAAAACAGTGAAGATGTGAATGCTTTGTACACCCACACTGCTCTGAAAAATGGAATAATGGGAAGCCAGAACTGAGAGTTGTAGGTTTCAAGAAAAACAAGTCATCCCATTTATCTTTTGAAGGATAGACTGCTTTCCTCCTGTACTGAACTCTTGGCCCTTAGGGGGTTATGTTTGCTGCCCTGCAGCCATAGAAAGTCACCTTGGAGAATAAAGGTGTCATCACAGCTAAAATCTCCCAGGTATTAGTCCATATCAAAAGTCACTTGCCATTCTACCTGGGGTAAGGGAATCTCAATATAGTTTTAATTTGCAGTCAAAATGGCAGTCAGTAAGAAAACAACAAATGCTGTCAAAGATGTGGCTGGAAGGGAACCTTTACACACTGTTGGTAGAAATGTAAACTATTTCAGCCACTATTCAAATCAGTATGGAAGTTTCTCAAAAACCTAAAAATAGATCTACCATAGTACCCAGTTGTTCCTCTCATGACTGTTTACCAAATCAGCACAGCCCAAATCAGCACAGCCCAAATCAGCAGAGCCCAGGCATGCTTGCACATTATTGTTCATTAAAGTGCTACTCATGAAAATTAAGTTATAGACCCAACCTAGATGACCAAAAACAGAGGAATGGAAACAGAAAAGTGGTTGTGTGTGTGTGTGTGTGTGTGTGTGTGTGTGTGTGTGTGTGTGTATGCCACAGAATTTTCTCTTAAGCCAGAAAGAGGAAAGTTACTTCATTTGCAGGAAAATTAATATAACTGGGGATAAGCATATTGAGTGAATTAAGTCAGTCTCAAAAAGACAAATATACCCAATGTGTATGTTTATATAACACAGAAGTACAGGTGAGATTGTCTAGGGGCAAAGGAGATTAGTGAAAGGGAAGAAAAGGGATTGTGGTGGGCATGGGAAAGAAGGTATGCAATGTACAACATATATCAGTATGAGAATCTCCTCATTTAACATGGGACCATGTACACTAAATATGCACAGTGAAACTTTTTTAATAAAATAAAAAGAGTCATGATGGGGAAAGAGAAGCAAAGGCAGGGCCATAGGCAACCAGATGCCTGGGCAGGCCCGTGCTCCCAAGTGCTGGCTGTTGCTCTAGGGATCTGGAGGCGACAAGCTAGAAGGACTCATTTATGTACTAAGAATGGAATGTTGGGCTCTCAGATGACATAACAGGAAAAACTTGGGCTTCAGAGCCAGACAGATCCTGGCTCTGTCATTTGATACCTAAATGACTTGGAAAAGGTCCTAGGCCTGACACTGCAGTGCCATGGGTCAGGAATAACCAAGACAGTGAGAGACAGCTTGCTGTATAGCATGAAGAGACAGACAAGAAGCAAACATCGTATAACAGCCTGGGGTAATAAATGTAAGTTGGTGACTAATACCTTGACTCATTAAAAAAAAAAAAAAGCTGGAGAGAGTAATAATGTGTGTAGAGTTGTGGTGATCTATTGAGATAACTGATACGGTACTTAACTCGGTGCCTTTGTATAGGCAATGATTTCATAAATTCTCAAGGAGCCCCTAAGTTCAAGCTTTAGGCCCTGTTCCTAGTCCCATTGATTTCTCAGCCCTGGAGGAGAGCCTGAGCATGCTCAGGTGGATAGGCCCAGTAGTAGAAAGAGACAGGATTCCTCATGAGAGGTCCTGGGTGCCAGTACCCAATTCCCCGTGAAGATGATGGGCAGGCTGGTGATAGAGCTGGTCCTTGACTCTGCCTCATGATCCTTCACTTACTTTGCCCCAAGAGTGTATCAAGTCCAGGGTGGACCTTGGCATTGCCTTTTCCCCTTAAGGCCAGGACTCAAACTTTCTTTGGTTTTCCCTCCTGTAGACCACCTGGCCCTGAGTGCCTCAAGGGCCCAGTTTGTGGATGTGGAGGAGCATAGGCTGGAGGCTATGGATGTGAAGGAGAGGAAGCCTTACCGCTCGCTGACTAGGCGGCGGGACACCGAGCGCCGCTACACCAGCTCATCAGCGGACAGCGAAGAGGGCAAGGCCCCACAGAAGTCCTACAGCTCCAGCGAGACCCTGAAGGCCTATGACCAGGATGCCCGCCTAGCCTATGGCAGCCGTGTCAAGGACATGGTACCACAAGAGGCTGAGGAGTTCTGCCGCACAGGTGGGTACATGCCAATGGGCAGACCAAGCATACACACACACACACACACACAGGTGTGTGCCTCAGTGCATGTTCAGATGCCCTGGGATCAGGGGAGGTGTCTCTGGCCCCTAGATCTGTAGTTCATTGTTAGGGCAATCATGTTCTGGCTCAGCTGCCTAGAATGGTAACCTCAGGCCTCGGGCTGGAGAGATGACACATTCATGTGGTAAACATGGTAACAGTATTAAGTGCTAAATAAATGCTAGTGCTTAGTTGGGGGATCTGTACATTCAACACCCATATCTTAGCACCTTCTTTGTGTCAAGCCCTGTGTGACTTTGAGAGGAAAGCCAGTCCTGAGAACGTTAGACCTTTTAACACTTAACAACTGGGAAGCTATCTTGACGCCAAACTCCTTCTCTCCCCCTTCCTTCATATAGTACTTACCAAAGCTTAATCATCCTTTCCCAGAATGCCTTTCACATCAGCTCCTCTTCTCTTTACCTTCTGCCATTGCCCAGTCCTGGACCTTATTATCTCTCTCTTGGAAGATTGACCTCATGACCCTCTTCCACCAGAGCTGCCCACTTGGACCATTTTCTTGCCTGGGCCACAATGAAGCTTGGGCGTGACTCCAGGTATCACTGACACTGAGCTGCTCAGCCTGAAACTAAGGGGCTTTCTTCAGCTCCCTTCCTGTCCATCTAGTCATTTTTGTTCCTTGCCTCTCCACACCTCACCACCCATGGCCCAGTCTTTCTGAACTGTTGCCCTATAGAATGGTCATTTCCCACTGTGGTAGCTCTGGGGTTCCTGCTGTTCTGCATGTGGAGCTTTGAGGCGGGTGACCACACTTCCTCACAACAGGAGCAGCTGCCCCCCACCCACCCCCATTCTGTTCTGCATTTCTTCCCTCTGCGGACAGCATCAACCCAGCAGTAGGCTGTGTAATTTAGATACATTTAAACAGTGGTGTTTAATCTTCACAACCCAGGATCAAATCACGTACATGAAGATCACAGAGGTAAGAGGAACAAGCCTGTGCAGAGAGAGAGAGAGAGAGAGAGAGAGAGAGAGAGCCATCTATGGTGACCTTTCCACTCTTTCCCTCAGGCCTAGATCCACATGAAAGCTGTCCCAATAGCTAGGCTGCGTTTCAGGCTTGAAAAATGACGACTCTACAGCTCTCCCCCAGCTTATGATTAAGAGCTCAAGCTCTGGCATCAGACAGATCTGGATTTGAATTCTGGCTCTGCTGTTGTTATGGCCCTCAGCATCTTCACCTGTGCAAAGGGATAATAGCACCTAATGGTAGGGTGCTCGTGAGGATTAGTGAGGACTGTAAATAATGTCCTTGCCACCAGAGCCTAGCATGGAACCAATGCTTTATAAACACTACGTACTATTCGTTGTCACCTCTGAGCCTGAGCCTCCGTGGAGGGAAAAGATGAAATGTCTCAGAGCTTCCCTCCAGCTCCCCCTAGCCTATGCTTGACAGAGCTCAGTGAGCCCTGGGCTCAGGTGCAAGCCTAGCTCATGAGGCTCAGAAATGGAGCTCCTTCTGATCTTTGTAAAAAACAAATCAGCGCCAGGTGTGGTGGCGCATGCCTTTAATCCCAGCGCTCGGGAGGCAGAGGCAGGTGGATCCCTGTGAGTTCGAGGCCAGCCTGGTCTCCATAGCGAATCCAGGCCGGCTAGGGCTACAGGGAGACCCTGTCTCAAAAAGACCAATAAATAAATAAGCATTGTTTTGCATGTATGTGTAAAGCAGTTTCAAACTGTCATCCTCAATCCTCACAAATCCTTTGACATACCAAGGTACTGGTTATACCCCCAGTAGAAGAACAAGAATGCTGGCACTCAGGTGACCACCAACCCAAGGCTATAGCTGGATGTTGAAAAAGGTGAGATGCCAACCCATGTCCCAGGCTCCTCAAGAAAGAGGCCAAAGGCCCTAAGCAAACAAACCATGGGGACTTCTCACATGTGGTAAAATAAATCTTCCGCCTCACACAGGGGCTGGTTGGCTCACCAAGATCCCTGAGCCCCGGGAGTTGGCCCTTACTTTGCATTTTTCCTCTCTGGAGATACTTCAGCTCCTGATGTTGACGCCAATTCTGTCTGCTTAAAAGGGTATGGAGGGCGAGTCATATGGAAATCAATATGACCCAGGCTGTTTATGGCAAATAAATTTGATTTTTCACTTAGCATAGCAGTCATTCTTTGTAACATGTGAGTGACCGCTCATGAGAGGATCAGCCCAGCAGAGCATAGATATGGACTGGCGGGGTTGGTGGGGGAGGGGGCAGCACCCGGAAGTAGGCTATACAGAGACATTCAAAGCAGATTGAGGGACTTCAGCTCCAGTATGCAGTTTCCTTTTTGTTAGGAGAACAAAATAGGAGAGCAGAAAGGAGTATAGCACACAGGGGTGAGATTCAAAGTGTGTAGCATCTGGTCTGGCCCAGGCCCCAGCCAATCAGAACATCTACATGGTCACTGAGCAGAGAGCCCAGAAACCCCTGCGGTACAGGGCCTGCTGCCATGAGCTATTTGGCCAGCAACTGGATCTCAGGGACATGGTGGAGAAGAGTGGAAGGAAAGGGGCTGAAGTAGCCAGAACAGAACAGAGGCCGGGGGGCAGGCACCAGGGTGGTTCAGACACTGGCCACATTATTCGTCTACCAATGTGAAAGGGTTTCATGATTTTAAGCTCAAATCCAGGCTCTGTCAGTTGCTGTTGTTCCTCTGCTTCAGGTTCTCCTCATTTTCCCAAAGAGGAACTCCTGGTTCCAGGGGCCCGTGTAGAGCTCATCCACAAGGCTTTACCCTGCTTTAGACTTGCTGACGAGCCCTGGAAGAGAAGACCTGAAGCCTGCAGTACAGTTTAACAGACATGTACTAAGCCCCTTCAGAATACAAGAATTTAGGCATAAACAAGGCTTGGTGTCTACCTTTGTAAAGGCCACCTTCAGCAGAGGTGACAGACTATTCTACCATCCCAAAGGACAGGGGCAAGGTATCGCAGAGGGAGCTGGGGGGAAGAGACAGTGAACTCTGCACAGGTTTAGGCAATGGGGAGCTTTCAGAGGAGGAAAGGTCAAATTGGCTTTGATGCAGAGCCCTGGGGTAGGGAAACAGACATAGAAAGAGCCCTACAAGCAGAGGAGATGGCTGGAGCCAAGCATGCACGTGAACCACCACAGGGCATTAGAAGTGCAGCAGTGAATCCCACACTAATTGTCCCCCAGCTTTTGGTGGAGACAAGTCACCCAACTTCCTCACCATGTGTCTCCTTCCTCTGTGTCTCCTCCCAGGCACCAATTTCACTCTGCGTGAGCTGGGACTCGGAGAGGTGACACCCCCTCATGGGACCCTCTACCGGACAGACATCGGCCTCCCACACTGTGGTTACTCCATGGGGGCCAGCTCAGACGCAGACCTGGAAGCTGACACTGTGCTGTCCCCAGAGCACCCAGTGCGCCTATGGGGCCGAAGCACACGGTCAGGGCGCAGCTCCTGCCTGTCCAGCCGGGCCAACTCCAACCTCACCCTCACTGACACGGAGCATGAGAACACAGAGACTGGTGAGTAGTCTACCTGGCCTGTTGGTTGCCAGGGTTGCTGGGTCAAGGATTTTAATTAGAATATTGATTTTCTGCTAAGTCACTGGGGCTCTGGAAAAGTAAGTGAAAAATTGCTTTGCTCGAAGTGGGCAAAAGTCAAAACCTTTTGCACTGTCACATGAAATACCCACCTATCAATGACTTGTCAGAGAGGAATTGACACACTTTCAGTCACAATAAAGCAGGACTAAAGTGTTGGGTTATTACTTACAAGGTGCCAATGTATAGGGGGGCAGCAAAGGGATGTGGATGTTGGTAACCCATCCCCCATGGAGCAGGCCCACAGCTCTGTTCCTAGACTCTCTAGCCCAGTTGCTTCCCTAGTTCTGAGCACTCTCCAGAGACTTGTTCCACCCTACTGTCTTATGTTGATCTACAAATGAAGACTTCCACGTGATAGCAACTTGAAATGAGGTTTAGGAGAGATATTGGTCAAAGTGTCAGTTACACAGAATCAATTCTCATGATAATGAGGTGGAGTGTCTGGTAACTCAAATGCTTAGAGCCAGAAAATTGGCATTTTTCTGTCCTTGGACTATTTGAATAGACTTTACTAGTTGAACATCCCTAATCTAAAAATCTAAAATCTGAAAATCCCACGAAATTCAACATGGTACCCAAAAGTTCTATATTTCAGAATCTTTCCAATTTTCAGATTAGGGGCCCTCAACCTACAATAATGCATATTTCAAAATTGTTAAAAGAATATATTTAAAATGTTCCTACCCACCCCCAAATGTATCTGAGGTGACAGACATTTTAATTCACTTGATTTAACCATTCCACGATGTATACATACATATATCATACTATAACCTATAAAATTTATGCAATGATTATTGGTCAATTAAAATTAAAATTTAAGAAAACATCAATTTTAAGGTAAAACGAGGTTTCATCCCTGTATCTTCATGGTATGGAACACCGGCTCCAGCTCCTAATTTCTCCATAGTTCTGTCTCCCAAGGTTCAAGGATGCTGTGGTTTCAAGGAAAAGAGGACCATTAGTTGACCTGTGGCCTCCTTAGGGTGGAGGGATGGGAACCCAGTGTCAGAATCTTCCCCTTCCCCTCCAACCTCATTGGCAAGTCTGAGAGAGGCATCTTCCTTAGTCCTGAGTGCAGCCAACTTTCTGGGGAATCGGCCTGTCTACCATGGTGTTTGCCCCACCAGGCCAGCACTGCAGAGGATTCTGCTGGATTCCAACACTGGGGACTTGGGGAGAATAGTGGAGTCCAGAGCTCCCCTGCCTGGTGAGCCTTTTGTTTCTGAGAAGCCCAGCCAGAGATTTGGGATCCAACTCCCAGAGCTGCCAATGCCACATGAGGTTGTGGAGACAACAGCCAGAATAACAAGAGCCAGGCCAGTTGCCAGTGCCCCCCAACTGGCTGCCAGCTTCAAATGCAGGATCTGCCTTTCCCCCAGCATCTGGGTCAGGTTGAAGGTTTAGCCAGTTTAGCCTGTGTCAAGACAGCTCCAGCTGAGCTGCAGAAGACCAAAGCCCAGATTAGGGATCATGCAAGTGAACTGGGTTAGTCAAGTGGAGTACTTCATCCTCCTAAACAGCCAACTGCTGCAGAGTTCCAAACATCTCTTCTGCCACCTCTACTGGTGGACTCTAGTTTGTGCTAGGGACCCTGTGTCCTAGCTTGGGGTGGGGACAGGCAGGGCCTGGGTACTATCTTGGTAGTGTCAAACCCACTGAAGGATCAGCCCCTGTGGGTCTTCCCTTCTATAGTAGAGAATGTGCGCATTTCCTCTCATCTCCCACTAAGGCACAGGCTTAGCCAGCAGCCGTGCCTCTCCCTGCCCCACTGTGCATGGAACCTCAGCATCAGTTTGAAGGACAGGTTGAAGCCTGGCTCAGAGAAAATGGGATCTGGTTAGGGGACAGGAAATCTCAGTTCCATCACTGGCCTGCGGTATGACATCAGGCAAGTGGCATCCTTTCTCTGGACCATTTTCCCCATTGATACTTTAAATGAAGTTGGCATTCTCTCATTTTCTGAGAATTTGGATAGCTCTTAGATTAGGAGAGGGAAAGCATTTTGTGCTCTGGTGATGATGAAACACTGGATTAAACAAGCTTAAACCAGTTTCTCTTGTGTAGGACTTCTCAGAGCCTTGAAAATATTAACATGTATGCTAATGGATCAATCGCCAATCTGGGCAGCATTCTTCATAGTCTATGACTATTGAACCCTTTACTCTCAGATCATGGGGGTGGACAGTATTCTAGCTGCCTTTTGTGATAGTGGAACTGAATGACCTGTAGGCCTTCATCCATAGACCTAGGACTCTGTTTCTAATCCTGACATGCTGAAGATAAAGATACTCAAAATGAAAATGAGGACACCAAGAGTTGATCATAGCTGCTGATTATCAACACCCAGGCATAACCGAGCACTCTAGCCATGCAAGTACATTTATGCCTTCTTCAACACCTTGAAGCAGATTGTATTACTTCCATCACACAGAAATGAATAGTAGCCACAGAGGAGAGAAATTCATCTCACTCACATGCTGGATGGAATTAGAACTCAGGCCTATTGTCTAAAATCTTGACTCATTTAGCCTTGGTTATTCTCTGAATTCTCTGGATATTAGGATTATTTTTTCTTTTGAAGACTTCTTGCTATGGTGATAAATGATCATTTTCTATAAAGTCCTGACAGAGTAAAGCAAACACCACCCATATTATTGTATATCCCTGAGAGCTGAATTAGACCTCTGTTGGAAGATAATTATATACCCAATGAACCTGCAGATTCTGGGGCCAGGAGGCAGCTGCTGGCTCCCCAGCATGGTATCCCTATCCTCTCGCTATCTCCACATGGACCATGGAGCACTAAGTCATCAGCAAAGCCTGGATTTGAATGCAGGCCTCTCTGATCCTGTAGTCTGAGCCTTTTGCTTTCCTCCATTTGTATCACATGAGTTTGGAACTCTCATTTTAGAACACCAGAGATATGCTCTCAGGATTCCTTTCTGATACTGTAAAGTGCGGAGATGACCCCCAGTGACCTCCAGCTACAGGAGCACAGACTCCGCCTCCACACCCAGCCTTGTGTCAGTCACTAGTAACGGTCAACAGTATTGACAGTGGTGGGAGCTTCTGCTGGGGTCACAGGACTGAGGTGCGCAACTGCCTTCAGAAATAACTTTCATGGGGTCCATTAAAGCCAATTTCTGTGCCTGAAGGTTAATGTCAGCAGCTTTCCTGTCACTGCTTATTATCTGAAATAAATACAAAATTGACTGGAAAATGAAAACACAAATCATCTTCTTCCTCTTCCTCCTCCACACTGTGAGGCAAAACTAGACCTCAGATCCTTCCTACTGCAAGGCCCAGCAGACTGGGAGCATCAAGGAAGAGCCAACACAAACAGGGCAGGGACACAGTCGGCATTCAATAAACGTTTTTTGAAGGTAGAAGTTGTGATTGGAGCTCCATTCCCAACACTGGGACAGGATGAATCACTGTCTCTCTTATGGATTTATTCTAAACTTGTTCCATGATGTCTGAGTGTCCCCAGCAGGGAAGGTGTTATTCTAGAATGTAGAAAATAGAGGAGTAGTCAGGGAGGTGGAGAGCTAGCCACCTGTGGTTCTGGATGGAAGCAGAGGCATCAGAGATTGGAAAGAACACTCCTTTCATAGTCCAGGCAGACAGCATTTGAGTTGTACCATGTCCCAGCTTGAGACCTGATACAAATTGCTTCTCTGAACCACAGATCCAGCATTTTAAAAGTAGCATATCAGTGGTTACTAGGGGCTGGAAAGGGAATTGTGAGGGGTGATTGCTACAGGCTACAGAGTTCCAATTTGAGAGAATAAGAAGCTTCTGGAGATCAATACTAGTGATGGTTGTACAGTAATGTAAATATACTAATACCACCAAACTATGCTCTTAAAAATGGTTAAATGGTTCCATATTACATATATTTTGTCATCATAATTAAAAAATACAAAAACTGAGGGCTGGGAGTCAATAAAGTGATTGCTACATACTCATGAGGACCTAAGTTTGATCCCTAGAACACACCTTAAAAGGAAGGAAGGGAGGAAGGGAAGAAGGGAGGGAGGGAGGGAGGGAAGACAGGAAGGAAGGAGGGAGGGAAAGAGGGAGGGAAGGAAGCAGGGAAAGAGGGAGGGAAGGAAGCAGGGAGGTAGGGAAAGAGATCAGAGAGAGAGAGAGAGAGAAAGAGAGAGAGAGAAGAGAGAGAGAAAGAAGCTTTGTGTGGTATTGTGCCTACAATTCCAGTGCTAGGGACATGGAAACGGATGGATCGCTGTGTCCCACTGGCTAGCCAATCCAATCTAACCTAATTGGTGAGCTCCAGGCCACAAAAAATAAACACATAATGGCACCTGAGGAACAATAGTAGGTTGGCTCCTGGTCTCTACATGCACACTCATAGACACATGTGTACCCACCCAAATACATACACACATGCACACATACACACAAACTCACAAAGAAAAATAAAAATTAAAACCACAAAACTATATGCCATCTTCCTTGATATGTTGCTGGACTGTGCTCCACTGGCAAAGCCCCTGCTCTGTCGGTCCTGAGTTCATGTCACTTGCTGAGGGAAGGAGCCAGTCATTATACCTGAGGGTGAAGAGCTTAGTCCTCTGCCCCCTTCATGCTCTGCACCTGGGTCTTAAGGTCTGGTAGGATCTCAGTGAGCAATAGAGGTCAGAGAGGCTGTATTAGTCACTTTTCTGTTGTTTGATAGAAACACTGACCCAAGCAATTTATAGAAGGAAGAGTTTATTTGAGCTTACGGTTCTAGGTAAATTACAGTCCATCATGGCAGGGAGGCATGGTGGCTGGAGGTGGCTGGAGCAGGAGCAGCAGAAGCTAAGCTCTCACATCATCATGCAGGTACAGGAAGCAAGAGAGAAACTGGAGATCCAGCAAGGCTTATGAACTCTCTAAGCCCACCCCCAGTG